AAATGTACTGGTTTGATATTGGTTTAAAGCTGGATTTATATTGGTATAACGCATAATTTCCGTGAATGAAGGTTGAAATCCCAAATGACGTACCCGTGTTTGCCTTTTACGCTGAGGAGAAAGCCAATCCGTCACATCTAGAACCTTGATTGATCGGTGTTGAATTTTAAAATCCCCCATTTATTGATTTTTCATAACTATAAAGATCCTGGCATACAAATTTAATAGAAATAGCTGGCATTATATAGCTAGATCGTCCCTAATCCGTTTTACCTGGGAAATATTGTCTTTATACACGAAGTGGCTATACCCATTGAAAAACAATCTGCCTTAAGAACTCTTCACGGTATTTAGTTCGGAGAGGTCTCCAATATCAATAACATGTTAATTGTCTGGACTAAATAGGACATCAGACAATATAACTCACGTATCTTAACAATAAACAAAGAAGTAGACTACGTATATATATGTAAACTGTATCTGTCTGATCATCTACGACATTTTCTTATCGTCTGTTTAGGTGCATTTAGTATGTCCTTAAACATCTATTACCAATTAACCAAACGAGAATACAATGTATTACAATGTCAATGTGGATTTATTTACACAGAGAACCTGAGTATCTCAAAATCATGAAAATCTACTTGTAATATGTACAAGCTGCATAGAATGAATTACGGTAGACGTGCTACAAAACTGTTCTACCGTTCTTTGTTTAAAACTAATATACATGTATTTAATTATTAAAGATGTTACAAGTTACATGAACTGAAAACAATTACGTACTATGAAGCGATTCGAACGTCCATGGTCTAAAACGAATTGAAAGTAGTATATATAAATTAGTATTATATATGAAATTATATGATAAATATTATCATTCAGTTGTATCCAGACAAAGAAATTATATGATGTTTTCTTATAAAACACTTCAAACGTTTTATGCAGGTTATACATCCTAATTATTAATTATGCAATACTCGAAATATTAAATTAATAATTACCCTAGTACTATCCGTTATCACCACCTTAACGAGAGAATCTGTGTTTCTGGCTTTATCACGACGAGTTTGTGATGTTGGAGACTAATGCTGGGGCCCTGCAGAATCAGTGGTGGTTACTTATTTGTGTTCTGTCTAAGAAATAATAAAGAAACCAACAGTGACCTGTGTACTCTTGTAGCTGATAATATTGGAAAAGGGCAGTTCAAAATATCAATTGTATAATCACTTATCATTGAAGAAACAAAACAACTTTTTTAATATCTACAATATGACAAATAGAAATGGATTCATAAGAATTCGAATAATGTACATGTAATTATGAAAATACCAAATTTAGATTAAATGCAACGGTTGATATAAGATTGCATAATAACTAACGCTTGAAATTAATATCAATATATCCCTTGTCGATTTTATTTACACGAACTTTGACCAAGGTCGCACATCAGAGGATAAACAGTATTTAGATGTCCATCGTTCGGGGTTACCAATGATGGCTTATACACAAAAAAAATATTTCAATTGCTAAAATAAATAGCTGGGTGGATGATTGTCTGTTTCACGCTGGTTAATCTTAAATATTAAAATTCCGGTCACACGGGGAAATGACGGGTTCTAAGGTAGATAAAACTGTGTAAGGTAAATATCATTCGTCATTGTTACATCAAAAGATGTCAGAATTGCAATACAGCAGGAATGTCAATATGCTCACTGATAACAAAAGAAAACATTACCATTGATTGTGACATTTTAGTTGACCATAAAGGAGGAGTGTTATTGGTTTTTTCACACTTAGTCCTCAAAGCATTGCAGAGTTCTGAAACAAAAGCCTAGCTACCCGCGCTCGCACAGGGTATTGGCCTAATGCAACAACTGTGTTTGTTTCAAACACGAACTGGCCTTTGTGTATGCAATTAGTCAAGCTGATGTCAAGCCCAACACTTTTTCATAGTAACATAGTTTTTGTGTACTCGGCAAGACACCAGTTAGTGTTTACATGAATGGTTCGCTGTGGAATGTACATCATATTTATCATGTATGTGGTGCATCGCTCTTCTCCGGTGTACTTCGACAATTTTCAGTTCAAATGTTCTGTTCATATCAAACTTGAACTCGAACTTGGATCCTGACCTTCGTTTTTCCTACTCTGGGAAATGTGAATGTTTGTTTGGCATGGCCCCAAAAAGGGAAAAATATTTTAGTCTCTCCTAGGAAAGATGAACGTTCGTTATTTTTGCATGTGTATCCGTTGACCCTTAGTAGATGTGTCTAGGTTGGGTTCTTCTACCTAGGATACGAACGTTATCTACCTATTCAAACATCAGTTATTTAGATACCAAAACTGTCTCGCCTTACCTAAACAATATTACAGTGTAGCACCTGTGTCCGGTTTTGTGTTTTTCTAGATTACATAAATGTGAAACAGTGTGGTTTCGCGGTGACATGCTCACCTGCTGAATTTCTAGTTGAAGTTTCGACACCTGTTGTCGAAATTAGCTTTGTTCGTGTTATTGAGCAATATCAAAGTTGTTCAACACCAATGTGGGAAGGGGGCGACAGTACCCACGTGCTATGGTCACTAAATTTCAACGCCGTACCAGCCTCTAATGTCCACGATACATTTTGAAAAATACAAACAAAAAATAACAAAATCAAATACCTACTTCATTAAGCTGTTCGTGTTTTCTCGCATGCTAACTTCATTTTAAGGATCTATAATTCTAAATATTAATTGTTCATAATAAAATATTATATAAGATTTCACGTTTAAAGCGTCGTTTACATGTATAACAGTGAATATTTCAAGTCCTTTATATAGACCTAACGTTTGTTCTGTGAGGTATAATATGGACCCGCGGTATCTCAACATGCGCCTAAAGGAATGAGGGGTCAATTCCTATGATCACAAGGGATGATCACAGCGGATCCACATGAAAGTGAGTTTAAGCTGGAGATTTCCCGGTAAACCTTGAGCATACCTTAAACTCCCGTCTGTAGCGCGGTAAGACTATAGATAGCATACATGTTAATGATAACAGAAATTAGTGAGGGACATGGATACAGTTCATACAGGTACATTGTACATGATCGTCTACAGTTCTCCGGTACACAATCAGGTTCGCCTACTGGTGATAGGCAATTCACCTACTAGTGATAGGCAACAAAATGTACATGTACGTCTTCGGGTCAGGTGTACCCAATAAGGCTCTTGTGCTCCTTCAGATCCTATGAATTAACCTAGCAATGTACATATACGCCTACATGTCCTATGGGCCCAGCAAGGTACTTGTACTCTTCAAAGCTTCAGGCAGCAAACAAGGTACAATTTTACATATACTCATACAAGTTATAGAGGCTAAAATGAGGCACAAATGTACTGCACATATACGCCTACAGATCTTATGTACTCAATTTAAGCAACTTGTTTATCAAAATTTACAAATTGTTTCTCTCACTTTACGTACAGATTTGATTTTAGCCTTTATTTGTTTGAAATCATAACTACTAAATCATGCCATCTGGGGTTTTTTCTGATATTATCTCATTATGTTCGTGGAAAATGGTCATTTTATTCTGTTCCGGAGATGAGCGCCCGGAATGTCCGCCAAACAACAATAAAACTTCAGCCAGGACCCTAACATTAACCGGACAGCACTTTCATGTAAACATAGATAAGACTCTTTTATAAAATTTCCGTGTGAAAATAATATTTATAAAAATAAACATATCAACGTGACCGTCTCGTTTGATCTTTCGCAATACACAAATTATATATAGGGTAAAAGTTATCAAATCATACTTCCATGCGTGGGATACGAATGAAATTGCCGACATTCTTGGGTCTTTTTAAGCATGAATCGTTACTCATATCTGAAGTTTTAAAGGCCCTGCGTATGCACAGGCTGCTTCACTGTAAGTTGTGTAGATTGAAATTTTTACACATATTGAGGGATAATCTTGGTTATATTTCTTCTTGGTTTCCGTTGTGTGCAAGAGATATCTCGCTTCGATGATAATGAGATTATATAAGTCTCTTTAAAATTTCGTTGGATCTGCTGCCCACTCAAAAGGACAGAAAGGAAAGGGGAGTTTTTTGCTAGAGGGGTTTTGTACCGCTGTTATTCAAGCACTGTACCTTTGCGCTAATACTACTTTTGTCGTGTTATTCTTTTGGAGGCTCTTTATAAAACATCTAAGAAGAGTATTACATTACAAATTAAATTCCTGACATTTCGAGAGTGTACCGATGACTTGCCTCGGTGTATTTCTCTGTACATGTAACGCACACAATTACATATATAATACCATAGGAGCTGCATCGCTTCGTGCACAAATTCAATAGTTGAGTCTCTGGCGCATTCGGCGTGCTCCCATCTCGAGTGCGTTCGCCATGTTTGTCCCTATCTGTGGTCTGTCAGAGATAATCTATCTGTGTATTCTCGTCAAAAGAATAGTCCGAATTTGTTTGCCATCTTGTAAATTAAATGCTGTCGTCTTATAAAAAACACACGCTTGCTTTGTTTTTTACGCGACAAGATCCAATTTAATGGCATATAACTAAACCTGTATTAGAATTTCGTGTGTGTCGTTGGATATAGATCATGGCTACCAGACAATGATAAATCTTGGCGATAACCCCTGGAATATTTCCCAGTCAACGATAAAAGAATTTAGCATAAAAATGTTTAGAATATCCATCTAATATCACATAGGTATTCATAAACGCCGTGAATGTAATGTTTATCTAAAGTAATCGCGTACCCATTAAAACTTGATACGGATGGATTTTGCAAATAATAACGTGTCTATAGCTGTTCGCTGTAGGGTATACTGTTGCGTAGCCGGGTACATGGGTTCGGTACTGACCCGTGGCGCCCTCTCAGCGAGACGGCGTGTAAGACGATGATTGTTCCCGGTAAATGACGGCGTTCTGGCGCAATGACACGTGAAATCTGCCCCTTTGGTTCGAGGTATATTATTATTAAGAAATAGGTTCCCACTGTCATTCAATAGGACCTATGTTCTACCCAGTCGTAACAAAAACAAAACGAGGAACGATACAGTTACACTATAAAACTCCATCAAATCTCCATCCGGCTAGGTTTAATACCTTGGTTTAAAGTCCCGCCCTGTATTGTTGGTGCGGTAATGGCCCTGGTCCAGTGTTTGGGACAAGTCGGTTAGATTTACTTGTGGTATTTTTTATTGCCTTCAGTGTTTTTGTGTATATGCAGATCTGTTTTGTCTGTTGAGGCAGATGGCCTGTGGACTTCAACAGGTGTGGATGTTAGGCACACAGCTGAAATAGTGTGGTTTATGAAACTACGTTCATGTTTATTCAATTGACAACAACAGAAACAATTCAGGATGCGGGAACTTTTTAACTTTCTATTCTTTTTCATTTGTATTTTAAAAGTCCATTACGGCGAACAGATTACATTTTGCATGGGAATTGATACCATCTCGAACATGTTTTATACAAATTACCCAACACTATTTCCGTATTTATCAGCTTAAATTGGAGTATTTTCGTTACTCTTCGCCGATGTGGATTATTCAACGACTGAGAGAGTTTATATAAGGACAGACTTTATTTGTTTGGAAGGTATCTCATAAACTACACCTCACAAGGCCGATCGTCTCGTGAACATAAGGTAAGATTCTATTGTACAGGGTAGGATCACTCTACATTGTAGTAACGTAGTCCCGGGTTACAAATATCAATGCCCCGCTCATCGGGACTTCGAACGTCAACAAAAACCTAATTTATATAGTCGAACTGAAAGAAATAGTAATAAATGTATGGGCTACGTCTTTTCACGTTAACCTTGGTCGTTTTAAACGGTTAGTTATGCGACATAGAAAACCTATGGAGTTCGCGCACAAATATTTGAATCAATTTTACTGAAATACTTTTTAAAATATCAACGTAAACAAATAAGGTATCCTCTTCCATCCTTGGTTATTGACAGTATGGAACCTTCCTATCGTTTGCCATTTGTTACATTTCTTAGGGATTCGAACCCGGATCCATGTCGCTCAGTACGGGAGCCCGCATACAAGGACGGTCAAGTAAATACGTTTTAGAAATGATTTGAAAGCTACGTGTAATTAATTAGAATCTCGTTTTTATAGCATATTATCTAATTTGTTCTTTTCTCTAAATGTAATTCCAATTTGAATATTTTTATGAAAGGCCTTGTATGGTGTTTTCGATCGTTCTAAAATCACTTGGCTTTGTGTTCAAAAATTGAAAAATCTTAAGTTTAAAATTATATTTTGGTGATATTTTATTACATATATTTTCTTTAACCACGTGACCAGTAAGGTAGCTGGTACAAAACTTGTCTCAAAAACATTATATATATTCTAACTTTTAAAACACTGTTCCCTGTGTCTGACTAACGACTTTTTGTCACGATACTCAGATGGCGTTCCCAGGCTGCAACTGTTGGTAGCAAGTCTATACAAGATGGTTACGCTTGCACTGTATGATTTACAAGTTCTCCTTCCATTTCTTCTTCCACGTTTGTCGGCATACATATTTGAACAATGGGGAATAAAAATCAACAGTTCTTGACGTTGTAGTACAGTGTTTTTATCGAGTGTCAGAATATTTGCGACACGTCAGCTGAAATGTGAAGAGTGAAAACTAAAAAAAAATCTGAAGCACGTTTGGCAAGTTTGAGTGGGCTTTCTCGAGCAAACCCCTGCTTGATAAGGTGCTAAGTGGTAAAATAATTAAAAAATCGGACAATCCAAATTCCGGAATAATTTTGCCGTGGTGCGAGAGTGGAGGTGATAACAAGCGATAACAGAGTCGATAGCAGGCGATAACAAGGCCACTTCACGCCTTAAATAGCCGCGGAGACAGGTCTTGTCGTGGTCACTCTAAAGCACTGACAATAAAGCGCTGAAAATGGCCGACACTCCGGCCAGCAAGGGTCCAGCATTGTCACAGGGGTTCATTAAATGGATATTATTGGACATTGTCATCTGTTCACGACAAAGAATGTTTGTTTCACTAGGTCTGTCGACCCAGCGTGTGGTCGAGGAAATGCTAATTATTGGCCGGACTTTGTGATAGTCAGTGTGAGGGAGATAGGCCGTTTCGCTTGGTCAGACTCGGACACTGCAAAACCCCTTTTCAGGCCGAATGAGCCTATACATGATTTTTATCCCGTTGAATTGTCCGAGAAATTATAAAACTTGCACACGATATTTATTGTTTGATTATTATGATTTGAGCACAAGTCTCATCTCATCCCATTTTTAGCGTAACATTAAAGATTTTATCCCATAAAAAGTATGCCTATAAGACATGAAAATCATTGTCTATGCGCACGTTTCTCTCTTTCTGACATGATAATGAATTCGCGTTGTTCCAGACACCTGCGTAACATCAAAGCGAACATCAAAGGAATGCCATTAGTCTAATGACTTCTATAAAACAATGATTTCTGAATTGTTAATTAAACCTTAATTATTATAACTTTTCTTCGCCACATTTCCTCAAAATTCAGGATGGTCTATGAGATTTTATCCTTTTTTTGAGGGGGGGGGGGGGAAGTCTTTGCAAACATCAAAGGTCATATATGGTTGAGTACCTGGGGCAGAGACCGCAGAGTAGATAGCTGGGGAAGGAAGAGAAAGAAGTCCAGAGTATTGCAATCAAGACAGCTGATCAAAGATATAACGAAGATGCTGACAAGCCAATATATATTTTCTCGCTTTTTAATGTAGCTATCGTTCTATACAAGTTTATATTGAAAGTTCACAAATCGTGTTTGTTTTAGTTAAAACAACGAATAAAAACTATCGCAGAACACTGACTAGTTCAACTGGAGCATATTGCGAAATGTTTCAGTTTCGCCATGTCCCTATGACAGCCCAAAACTTGTTCTTTATTTCGTTGCAGTTATTGTACTCTCTGTATTTGGTAAACTTCTTTTAAAAATAAAATTTTACTTTATTTAATTTTCTTTACAATTTAGATCATGTAAACAATTTTATTCTACAATATAGATAATCGGTCGGGAAATAAGTAAAGAGTCCGTCAATTAAAGTCTGTTCATTATGTATGCGATTCGTTAGAAGTTAAGGTTAATTAAGTTCAGTATTAATTACCAATATCATTTATATATATTACATGTCTCGTTAATTTTATTCCATGTTCTCATTACATTTTCTTCCTATCCATTCTCATGTGTCAACTTTTGAGTAGTAATATAATCTTGTCAACTCATTAGTTTTTGATATACGTAATTGATGACGCCTGTATAGAGAGTTTAATCTTTAGCGTACGATTTTGACAGGTGATGTAAGTTGAATGAATGAGATCGTTTACGGGCATTCTAGCTTGTTCTCGTCAAAAACGTGTCACAGGGCAAGTGAAATTTGAAAGGAAATCAAAAAGCAAATCTGCTATTAGCACCTTTTTGTTTCGCTCGACAGAACAAATTAATTTGTCGGCGTCTTCGATTCAACAGGTACTACAACTGTGTGTTGGGGAATGTACAGGAAAGGTTTGAGTTCAGACAGGTAACAATATTATCGTTTAAACGATCTTAACTTTAAACGGAATTATTTACCTCAAAGCGTGATACACAGGCACAGGAAAGGTCTTAACGAGGCTCACCAACTGTTATTTTCTGGATGTCAACAATGGTAATTATATATTTAATAGTTATTTTGAAACAGATTTTAACAAAATTACTTAAACAGCCCGCGGTTAAGTAAGTTTGTACAATAGCTTGAACATTGATATGGCGATTAGAAATGTATCGTCTCAAAATTTTCAGTAGTTCATATGCCATGTATATTTCAAGTTCAGTTTTAATTTATTTAGTTTGCTAAAATTGTTTACATGAAGAAAATAGGTAATATTTAATGTATACAATTCATTACATTTGTAATATTATGTTGAAACCCTATTTTTAAATGTTGATGAGCTAGATTTACTAAAATGGTATACATGTACATATATTTACCTTAACGTTAAAATATGGACGCGCTAAACTAATCTTTCACGCATTTTTAAAATCACATTGTTGGAATTTCCTGGTTTAATATGGAGATTTGTATAGCATATTCGATTAAATTAATAGAAAAGATGATTAATTGAAAAGCACTTTGCCTCCCTAAACGGGTTATATTTTCTGAATCGCTTATACCTGTAATCAATGATCCTGTAGAAATTATCCGTTACTCATAGTTGTAACTCGAGACAGAGTAAGTACGTATCAACGATTTTATTAATGGGACTTAATATTAGGAATTACTGTATTATTGATATTCATGCTTCAGTATCAAATTTCGTACATTCCTATTTATCAAATTTCCCTCATATTATCACAATACACGCCCTCGAGTTGTACACAGCCATTTTATTCTCCGTTCCGTGACAGCTAGAGCGGTTTGTTTAGTAGAAACTTCCCTAGTTCGTGTATTCTCTCTGTTTCACTTGTTTTGAGTGATTTTTATATTAGACATAACCCTTAAGATTCCCTCAGATTGACAGATGTAGACAGTTTTGTATTGTAGGGACTACAACCAAATATAATCTCTCAGATTCCATATACATGTATATAAATAAAGTTTTATTTTGTAAATACATTGTAGTACCCTAATCTCGGCTCAAACTATTAAACACAAATTCCTTGATGCTTGGAACATCATTTGAAAAGGTGTCTGAAGTAGCCTTTTGAAGACTGCGATTTGCAAATGAATGAAAGAATTATTTTAACAAGTCTGTTTCGGGATACATTTTTCATATTTAGGGAGCTCCTACAAGTATATGAAAGTCTAAATATACCCCAATTCACTGGATATAATCTGTTTCATGAGAATATGAACGATACAACTTTCTAAGGATTTAATGTTGTAAATTAAAAAATATTCAACATGTAGCCTCTCTAACGATGTACCAAAAAACGAGTCCATTTACTATATCCCTCCGTCTGCTCCTATAAAGTACATACAAATGATGAGATCATCAATCATAACATGTTTATGTGTTGATACAGCTTGTATTCGGGACAGTTTGGAGACGGTCATTGCGCATCCCTTTGTAGACCAGAGCGGCGTAACATTTGCATATAAACGAGGTTTCGGAGGTATCATGTTCGAACTTAGTCGATAAAAACAGTTTAAACTTTGGCGGAAAGGCAAAATTTGGTTTGAAAATCGGTTCATCCTTCTTTTGAGATCGTAAAATATTCCAGAACTTTTACGTAAACGAGGTTGTTTGTCCCAACATCAGGAGTTTGTTGGTCACGGTCCATGGGACAGACTACGAAGAATCTGCCCACATAATAAGTACATATACCGTGCCCTTACCTGAATTAAACGTCGTAACACTACCTGGGCCTTCATGCCGGGTACATTCTAACAATGGACACGAAACATCACGGCATTAATTAATGATTATAAAGCGGACAGAAAGGCAGGGTATAAAATTTATATATAACAAAGGACTGTGGCACGCCGGGGTAGGACGGGGTTGGTGTGGGGTTACGAGGGGACGTAAATGTATATCATGTATATTGTACAGGAAGAGACTCCAGCAGCTCACTTGTCCTTTACTGGACAATACAAGTCATGGAACACGTGACATTCTCACCTGTAACTTCTACGTAAGATATTTATCTTTATTAGGATATACATGTACAAAAAGTATGATGAACATACTTCCGGCAGTTAAGATTAAAAACGAACTCTAAAGATATTGCCACAAAAAAAAATGAAATACTACATCCTTATTTAAAATGCCGACTTTCTGAGATTTGAAATAACCATAATCGAATGAAATCAAAAAGATGAAAATTAACAAATATTTGTGTATGATTTTCAACAAACATTTGTTCTTTAATTGTGTGTATATTTCATTTAAGCTGTCTATGCTTTGAAAAAACTAGGTCATGTGTATTTCTTTCAAATCAAAAATTACACGCGACATTTTCTTTTATTCTGATGATGATCGAGCGTAATTTTAAGGCTGGATGCCAAAATGTCATTATTCATCTCGACTGCGTCATATTTCAACCCGAGCTTTTATCTGATTTTATATGATCTATAAATGAGTAAACCCCCGGATTACCAGTAAGTTGGCACTGTCGAGGGCTTTTAACAATATTGCTGAAATACATGTATAAAGACGTGTTATAACGAGGGACGAGTATAAAACAACAGCACAACTTTCAGATTGTCAATTTTAATTGAAAATGAATGGTTGAACATATTAATCGTATAATGTTTAAATAAACTTTCTTTTTAAATAAAGGTTTTCGTTTAAATGTTGCAACTGCAGGAGCGAGAAAATTGGAATATTTTTTTAACATCTGTTTCATTACGTTTAAATTGTTAAATAAAAATACGTTAACTCAATGGTCTGTTCAAAAGACACTTTATTCATCAGTTTGTAGACAATGATATCGTAATTTTCTGATTTTCCTTAGACAGAAAGTTTGACACGTTTTCTTTATACATTAGTATGTATCTTTAAATCGTGTAATTCGGTGAACATTTCACTATTTTAAACGCAATTTTTAATCTTGTAGTGTTTTCATCCTGGTTAAAAAAAAACAACGTTTTTCATGATCACAATATAACATATAAACTGCAGGGTTTCTATATCTGTGCGATATACAAATGAACTTTTAAAATGGAAAATATAATCGAAATGACAAAGAGGGATTGTTTGGTGAAAAATAATCTTTATTCATTCACACTGGGCGTTTGAATACAATACTGAATGAGCGTTTTAGTTTCTTTATAAAATCTTTAAAACATATGACCGTTTGATATTCTTTTATAAAAAGCACGACGGCTTTTATAACACATTCTCAGTGAGTAGGCGCGTTCGTACCAGTCCACTCTGTTGACACAGGGACTTGACATCTAGCGTCAATGACTAGAAGTTATCTCAGAACGAGGACCCAACACAAACTCTGTGGTACCTTATCACAGATAGCAGTGTCATACAACAACCACACACACACAGGCACGAGACAGTAACCTCCTCTAGTTCCGACAAAACAAATATCCAGCTGAGAAAAAAGGTACGAAGGGCAATCAAGTCAAGACTTTTTTTACCCCGGCGAATTTAAACAAACTAGCAACTTCTTTTAAACATTGAAAAGAGTACATTTGTAAGGAGCTTTAATGGTCTGTTGAAGTATCCGACATATTTGTGTTAATATCAAAAACATTGACAGATACCACATTGTATATTATCAAGAAAACAGAAAAAAATATTTACATTTTATATACATTTTATTATTTACAAAAATTTAAGAGAAGGTCTCGAAAGAGAACGAATGTGATTTGTTTTCCATTCACCGTTAAGAAGATTTACTGATTACGATGATATCATCCAAGTTCATTGTGTAGAATTACATAACACCTTTCGCACATAGTAACAGACGATTTATGGCTCTGTTAGTAAGATTAAGCTATCTCTATAGTCATTTACGAAGTGTATTTTGTAGAAGTGTGATATTCCCGTTTATTTATTTTAATCGTAATACAACTTAAAAGTTTTATTGGGCATACATTATTTGTGCTTTAAGTGAAATATATATTTGCTCTGGGATAAATTCAGATTTATACCATGAAATTGACAGTTTATAACGCCTAATTGAGATACTCGTTGAGTTAATACCTTTAGTGACGTCCACCTATTTTCACCTGTGTTGTAAATTCTACTCAATGATACAAATCGTCTACGATCAAAATCAATATTTGAACATCAAATGTCGCTTAATGTTCCCGTGTGCTAGTCGAGACTGATTCGTATGTCTGCGTTTCGTTTGTTTTAAAGAAAACGTACATTTGCTATTAAAATTGCAGGCCTTGAGAGTGAATCAATACTTTTGTTCCTTTTTTGATTTTGTAAATGCTAATTGCTACTATGATCATGTTCAGTTGAGTACACAGGGAGTGTGTCGTGTTACTCATATAACAGTCGCCGTGTACAGCGACATAAATTACACTCGTATAAATATTGCAAGGCCGAACCGGCTTCAAAGTATCTACGGTTGAATTGTATATTACGGGGTTTGAAGCTGGCATTGTATCATTTACTACATCCTATTTCGGTTATACTCGTGAAATCAGATAAGTTTTGCCGTAAAACGGCGTGTGCTATAATGGAACCGCTCGCTGTGGCCCTGGTAAACTGCATTTTAATTAGCTCAGCTGATGAATATTCATAGACTTTTGCGTTGGTAGTCTTGACACTTGGTGTAAACTTTAATCAATATGTAATGTATATTCATTACAAACTGTGTACGAAGGCCCAACCCATGTATACGACCGTATTTTAGAATTACACGAGATTCACAATAGCAACACACAAACGCCTGGAATGCATTAATTAACGTTGATTCAGTCTGCAATAAAACCGCCTTGATTGACACGTTCAGGTATGAAAGCTACGAATTGTGGAAATTCTATTCAAATACCGCAGAGCACAATGCCTTTTCGTCTCCGCGTACTACGGGTGGCCAAAGTCAGGTAATGTAAGATGGCGGAATTGGTTTTGTCCCCCTCCCCCAGGGTCGCACAGGGTCACTCTCAGGGGGCGGAGACTCGTGAAGTGTACCTAATCAGCCTCTATTGATTGCCGGTTTTCCAATTCATTCTGCGCATGCGCCAACGGTGTATTGACAATAAAACGTATTAGGTTTACGAGCGAGGCTTTATAGTCCATGTGTTGATCCGGGTTTATATTGATAGTGAAAGCTCGGCAAGCGTAATATCATGAGTTCGTCATACTGCGTTAGAACAGAAATAGACCCGGAAAAAATGAATATATACGTATTCGGCAGGTTTCTAACTCTTGGATATATTTTTTGTATTTTGACAGATCTGAGAATCAGCCGGTGTCATGGCGGTGACAAAATTGTGTTGAGGTGTGGACAACTGTTGGCGTGAATGACGACGGGTGGCACTGGTCACTACCTGACCATAGCACAGCGTGAATAATCATCAGCTTGTGACACCTGACCAGTTTATGACAGGACCAAAGTATAACTCTCGGGATTTTGTTTCCATTCATGGCAGAACGAGTCCGTGACTCGGATAGTTAACCTTATAGTACCAAATACCAACTCAGGTGAAAATAAATTCGTAACAGGAAATTAGGAAAGTGACCTTTTCGTTGCTGGAACGTTAATTCTAAATTTCTTTCGACGACGGAGGTTGTAATTTTTGGATATAATGTGATCGTGCACGGAATAGCCCGTGTGTGTGTTGTGTGTTTGTGCTGTGTGTTTCCGTGGCCCGTACTGGGTATGAGAAAGAGTACCGGGTATGTCATGATGGGCATCGGATTCACATTAGGAATTGTGTTGGGACTGCTTATACAACTTCCGGTCATCACCCTCCCAACTTCCGGTCGGGGACAAGGGGACCTGGGGCTAGACCTCGTGGGGTCGGAACTGGACATCAGGAAGAAAGCACTGACGAGCGAGTTAAATAACGGCGATCTTAATCAGGACTTACGGAACGGCGAGGGGTTGAACAGAATTACACAGAATTACCCTCTAAGAGGATTGAAACATTCGCTTCACAGTGTTGTTTATCCCACGAACAATGGGAGTAAGTCGCACTTACAGGAGAAATCTGTGCCGATCCCTGATATTACACCCGATTACCGGCCACAATCCGGCAATCAACCGGTCGATTCACCTCCGGCCACTGGACTGGACATCCCCAAGCAGGGCAAGCGGGGTGTTGACTGGGTCAAGGCTGTTTCGGACATGGTGGACGGAATTGTGTGGACCTCTTCACTGGAAAACAGCTGTAAAACTAGACAATCAGATCAAGAACAAAAACAATGGCGGGAAAAATCGACCCGATCGAAAGTTGTGAAAATGAGTGAAGGATGTGGAAGGATGCAGAATCGCCTGCTCATGTTGTCGGATGGAACACGTGCATGCGCGCGGTACCGTCTCAACACGGATCAGATTCAGGGTGAAATTTATTCCTTCTATCTTGGGAAACTCCTACGCATCAACAATTTATTACCCACAGTGCTAAGTGTGGTCAATTCACACAGTGACAACTGGCGGACGGTTCATACGGAAATGGCTAATGCCCAGTGGTCAGACAATAAGGTGGTGGTTATTACACAATGGTCAGGGGGACTAAACCCCGCCTACATTCCCATCCATCTCAGGGGAGACGACCGCGCGCTCTTCCCTACATCCGGGGAACTCGGTGACATGGGCGCGTGCGAACTGATGCAATGGTCAGATCTTATAGTGTTTGATTATTTAATTGCTAATCTTGACCGCGTGGTTAATAATATCCACAACAAACAGTGGAATAGTCAAATGATGGAGAGCCCTGCTCACAATTTGGAGCGGGACACGGACGGGAATCTCATTTTTATGGACAATGAGTCGGGATTGTTCCATGGCTACCGGCTCCTGGACAAATATTCGTCCTATCACACATCTTTGTTAGATTCTCTGTGTGTGTTTAGAAACAGTACAGCAAGCATTATAGAACGTTTACACCTTTCCGGTAACGTCGGAGAGGAACTCCATGAAACGTTTGTCCGGGAAGAGCCTGCTCATAGCTTTGTCCCGACCATACCAAAAAAGAACATGAAAATTCTACAGCAAAGGGTCGGCGACGTTTATGAGCAGATCCAGCATTGCAGAGTCCGCTTTATGTAATAATCATGCCATGTATTAACACAATAATACAGTGAAACTTGTCTAATCCGACATCCCGTGGACCACAACATATTAGTCGGAATAGACAGTGCATAAAACATACATGTCTTTTCAGGTACTTGTCATTATAAATCTGAATGAGGCATTATGTTGGATAAGACACTATGTTGGGATATATATGTGTCGGATTAGACAGGTTTCATTGTATTTAAACATAGTCTCATGCTTTGCTCAATTTCATGAACCCATTTTTTCCTTTGCATCAAGGTCTGACAACATTATGATAGTAAGGACCATTACATGATGTTTTTTTGGTTATCGACAATGCATAGCGAAACATTTTAAAAATGATGACGAATCTCAACTAATCGTACACTAAATTCACACAGATTTTTTTTCACGTTTGGTTAATTTGTATCAGGGTAAGTTCTTAGCTAGTAAAAGCACGATCTGACAAAGTTCATTGATTTTACTACATCCACTAGGCTTATTCAGAATGTGTTTAGTTTGTTCGTTCTTAGTTTAGATGTTTAAGACAACAATACAGCAACTGGAAATGTAGATAATTTATAACCGACAATCATATCAAAATTATTACCTAATGTCAAAACTTCCATCGATAATCTTTATAAAGGTCATAAAGTTTGTCAGATTATGATGTTGTGGAAAATGGTTAATGAATTCAAGTTATGAGAAAAAATGGACCATTTCGAAAGTCTATTCTATTCCAATCTGTTGATGCAAAAATATTACATTATGACGTCAGTTAGCATTTGATTTTTTTCAATTTAATAATGTTTTACAAGAGAGGCAAATGAAGTTTTTGTAAAAAAACAAAAGAATACGCTAAAAACCTGGTTAACGAGGCTCATACAAACTTGAGCTATCATATTACAAAAGAAAAATGAAAAAAAAACAGAAAAAAACTCCATTATGATTTTAAGTTTTCGAAATGGTTCATTTTATTTTTTGATGCTTAACTTACCAACAGTACCTTTTGTCTTTGAGACATTCGCAATAAGTGTTTACCATGTACTCAAAGTATGTCTGGTATGTGATATATGCAAGAATTTACAGATTGTCATTTTATTTATAACTGTGATAGTTGATTATCTCCCCTTACAAAGGGTTTGTGAGTGCTGAATACCAAATATTAACTGTTGTTTAAATGTCGTTAAAACGTCGCTTAGACGTTCTTGTGTGTCGCAAGTATGATTGAGGTATTGAAAGAATGTGTTTTAGTGTTCCGACAAATGAGAGTGAGCGAGAAAGTGCTAGTTAAGGAGAGAGAAAAAAAGAGGAGAAAGTTGTCCGAGTCTCGATATTCCGTAAACAGATAGGAGAAAAAACCAATTTACCGTTTTTCATTGATTTTAAATCAATGTGTTTTTATTTAATTATTTCATTATATAAACCTGTCAATAGCAATCATCTTTTTATTTATATACAGTGTATAGAAATTATTATCACTTTTTCCAATCGAATCGTTCTTTTATAATAATACATTATCTTCAAAATTTTCAACCTATAGCAAAAATGTTCTTGCTATTGATAAGCAGTATATATATTAAAAGATTTTTAAAAAACGAAAGAAAATACACATACAATTTCCACCGATTTACTGGTATAATAAGATTTTGATTCGGTTGGTAAATGAAAAATACGAAAATTCAAATGTGTAAAATCGGAATATTGATAAGAATGTGAAATCATGTATGTTTGACAGAAGAAGAAAAGTATTAAAACGAGGAACGAATGTGATGACTTAAAATATAAAATAAACAGTAAACCTAAACACGACTGGTTTGTGTTTGATATGAGCGACATCTCGCCGAGTTAACTTTTGTCTGGGGTTAAATGGCCCTGGCAAGGCACTGTAGACCCGCCCACCCGTATAATAGCTGAATTGGCCACGCTCAACATGCCATTTTCCCACAGTGATACGTTTTAAAAGCCTTAACAGCTTGACAAACATCAAATACAATTTTCATCATGAATATTTTTTAATTTTCTACCAAATTTTACTGTTTCAATTTTTTGTTCAGCGTTGATTAATTTGTAACCGAAAAAAATCTTCTTTTTTTTTAATTTGGATTTTTAATCTATCCAGAGATGTATGAAGCCAGTAGTATTTATCTGAACAAATAACGGAATAAAAATAATTCTAAATCTGTGAAGTAAGCTGTTCGGGTTTTAAACATCCGGATACAGATGGTCCGATTATTGTAAGTATAAAAAAAGTTTATGGGCGCGTACCCGTGACGTACCTGTGAACCCAGTATATATTATAGACTCACCTTTCCGCTTGGGCGGCCATTTTTGTTACCTTCTGAAAGGACACCGTTTTATGACTGTCCAGTGTAGATTCTACTGGTATAGGAACAAAACATCGGAATTTGTCGCCTACGATAATTATAGGAGAACACAAAAAATATCTGAAACCACAGGAAACGATCACCTTTTAATCTTCGAGAATTAATTTCATGTTCAAAGAGTTTATTAAGCACTTGTCAAACCATTATTATATTGATATAAAACATGAACAATTGCCTACCATAAATTATCAAAGAAATTGGAAACATTCTATACAAAAATGAAATAACCTGGCTGTCTCTTCTCGAGTGGAAGGGTCAGAGGCACAGGAACCTGAGAATTCGTTACAGCTATGTTTAGATCTGAACTAAGGTGTTCAGAGTAATTTTACACTTTTTAGGGTTTAGATAAACTTTCCGTAAAATGCCACCCCTTATATGTTACCGAAAGTTGATCTAAACCCAATAACGTGTAAACTTACTCTGAACACCTTATTTTAGGTCCAAATATGGCTGTAACGAGTATCAGGTCCCTGTGGTCAGAGGATACAAGGTTTAAGGGTGTATGATAGGACATAATTCAATTATTTAAATGTATAATTATCAATTAGATATACTTACATCTCAAAAATGTTAAATACACGAATTAATGATTGCTTAATTTTTAACCCCATCCCCACCCCTACAGTTACAGCTATATTTGGACCTAAACTAAGGTGTTCAGAGTTATTTTACATGGTATAGGGGTTTAGATCGACTCTCGGTTAAACCGGGCATACACAACGTTATTCCCAACCCCATCCCCTATACAGAACTTTTTTTTCTCTCTCCCTGCAATTTAGGCAAAATTATGTCACATTTGACAGGGTAAAATCACGGGGAACTGATTGTTGTTACAGCTATATTTGGACCTAAACTAAGGTTAATAGGAGTTATTTTTTTCACATATTTGGCTTTTGACAACACCTTTTTATCATTTTTATTAACGTTGTTGGATTAACGTTCATAAAGCAATATTATATTAAAATACTGTAACACAATTGACGGAATCCAATTAGGCACGTGTTAAATTTATAGGGATTAAAGCTTAGCCTTATGTGTATTGAGTAATTAACTCAGGGCTAGGCTCTGCTAGTAAAAATATATCAAGGGTCTTATCCATTCTGTGGAATCGTTGTAAAGTCTATTTATTAGCATGTATATGTATATTTGCAAGATTGTTTGAAACAAGAGATAGCAACTAAAACTCCTTCTCCTCATCAACTGTAAACCAGCGTTGTGATATCGACAATACACAAACACACATATATAGTAAGTAGATGATATATATAGTAGATAATAAATAAACAAGGTCTTGATACGGACTCATAAAGAAGCCCAAGAAAGCTGAAAGGCTAAGCGGTATATCTTGGATACGTATTATTTTATTCTATATGAATAGTTCTATTTAAAAAAAAAATCCGGAAAACAGAAGAATGGAAGAAGTAAAGGAGACACAGGCAAAAAAGGGGGCATGACAATTTCTCTTACCCTGGACAGGGATATCCACCATTTTACCGGTGTGAGATTTTCTTATCTCACCCTAGGGTTGAGACAAGCTACACGTGCTCTTTGCACGTTCTCAACAATTGTATGACGTCATAGCAACAATACCATGATGTCACGGCAACAATACAATGACGTCACGGCGACATCACATTAACATTTTCTTGCATTGATGTAACGTCTATATAAAATACATAAGAGGGTAAACAGTAAGAGAAAAATAATCATTCACCCCCTTGGGAGTGAGACAGGGTGATCTCAACCCTCGGGGTAAGATTCTTAAGCTGTCAGACACTTGGCAAGCCTCGTGTTTGACAACTTAAGAATCTTACCCCTCGGGTTGAGATGACCCTGTCTCACCCCCAAGGTAGTGACAGATTCTATTATTCTGATACCGACCATATACACATAACACATCAACAACAAAAAAGAATTGAAAAAGGAAAGAAGACACGAGGAAAAAGAAGGGACATGACAATTTGTGATATCGACCATACACACATATGACGTCCGGAAAACAGTAGAGTTGAAGAAGTCAAAAAGACACAGAGTACATGTAATACAGCGTGATGACAAACATACATGTTTTGATTTCTTATTGAAATGTAAGAAATTATTACATTTCAAACGTTTACACCGTTTCAATACGTCTTAAGATGCATACAATTTTCAAGATAATTTACATATTGCGAAAGTTTTTATCTATATTTTACACACGAACAAACGATTCAGCCATATATCATGGAATTACAGGATTAAAATAACACTGATTTTATCGTTATATGACACACCCGTATACATTGTGATAAAAGTGGGAGCAGCGTTATCATTACATTTGATAGTGATGTCGTTAAAATAACTGTCCTTTCATTTGTACTTTTTTCACACAACCGTAGTTTAATCTAAAATCTAAAAAGATCTGCACACAGATGACATTTGTTACATTTTTTCTATCTACTTCCTTTATTCGTTCGATGTTTGTATTAACTTGAAGACGCTGCGGGGTTTATAGTTCTGTGATCCACGCGGGACTGTCGGGTATCTTTTGGCCACACACATTTATCACAGGGGCTTGGAAATTAAGACAAATTTTGTATAGTTGGGACCTCTTCCGATGTGCAGTCAATAAGTTATTAGACGTTTTAAGGGTTTAGTTCAACACGTTGAAAGAGTCTACTTATGTTATCATTAGAGCAAGCATTGCATTGATCTAAACCCTTAAAACGTCTTCTTATTACTTCCTACACTAAGAGAGGTCCCATCGTAATTATGAGTTGTTTCTTCTTAATTTTCAGGTCCCTGTGCTGTGCGCAGTATTGACACATTATCGAATTTTCCGCACAAGCTGTCGGGGTTAATCGTTAAAGACTACACATGCGCAAATCATAAAATTGACTACTTTAAAATTCATGAACAAATGAAGACCGGATATCTCTGAGAGCTCTGCACACTGTTTAACTAATGGTAGACATACACATTTCTAAAGTCAAAGTCGACATTAATTGAAAACAATATCATTAAGCTGAGCAACACGAAGTTATACAGCTACATTTGTACAATATTTTTGGAATTAAAAAAAGAAATATATTATTTATGCTTATTTTCCCAAAACGATTCGTTTTTATTTTATATGACAATAAATAATAATTTTATTATCATAATATCTAGTACTTACCTTTGTAATTAACCCGCGGCTCGCATTCATGAATCAGTTATCGTGCTCAATCACGGATTCTGTGCTCAAACTGTAACTGTGCTGTAATTCACTTCAATCATGTCAAACGATTAAAAGTGTCAACTGTAAACATTGAAAACAGTATTTGGCTTTAATAGACAAAATTGGATTTTAATAATAATTTATAACCGGAAGAAGAAATTAGGCTTGAACATAAGAACGGTTTCGTGAGTACGGGCCCAGATCTTAGCGATTGAATATCAGTTTCATTAAGATATTATAATAAAAATGCATTACTTCTAATAAGTTTGCACATCTACAGGATGGAAATAATGAAAAAAAAAAGTAAATAAATCAACAAATAATAAAAACTAAACTCCGAATATAGAACAAATCCATTAGTCCTGATTTGTTTTTTGATCCCCAGCTATTTGACAATGAAAAAAGGTGATTATTTTCTAGTATACGATTGCGACCGAAGTGATCGGAGAGGGTGACATTAAAACACACAGCTGTGCAGATTTTCCGTATTATAACAACTGTTAGAGAAAAAAGGAAAGAAGAAAACCAAATCGATTGGGGAAAATAAATTGGTATCAGACACACGCGAGTACATTTCAATGGAGAGTTTGAGGAATATTGAAAAAACCGCCTTAGTCCACTATAGAACTGTCTCTTGCCAGTCAAATGTATGCAATCAGTTTGATTGGAATAAGTATTAAGTGTACGATTTGCAGGTAGATTTCACATCGCCTAAATGGTAACATATTTCCATGTCTGTACCCACGCATATACATCGCCTGAACCTGACACAGCATATATATTCAACCAATCGAGATGGAGTGTTAAAGCGCATTGCTAAAGTCTCAATAATATTTACCCTCCGGATAATGTGGCAGTATTAATGTTGCTTTGTTTGATTAAATATTTGAAATTAAATTAATCGAAACTGCTTTTGTAATATTTATCAATGCACTTTGATAAAGTCAAACTTCAAAATAAACTCCACTGTTTGACAACGCGCACGAGGGGCGTTTAATATATGTTAATATGAAAAGAACAACTATTTATAAAAAGAAGAAAAATGGTACCTCAACAAAACACCACGTGCACGTTCTCCTTCGCGCTTTTAAATAACGACAAATTTAATTT